GGAGTTCATGCAGTTAATAACACAAATTACAAAGAAAGAAGTACATGTATTATATTTGTTGGAACTATTGCTGTCAACTTCACTGAAAACAACAATGTGATCTTGAGAACTTAACATCAAATAATGAATTCAGCACCTTCTATCTATTCTTTGGTTATATTCATACAAGTACCATGAACTTCTATCATGACTATTCCAACTTGTAACAACATTTTGCACAATAGTTGAATTGTAAACTGCTAGCTTTCAACTATTTAGACTCCGTGATTGCCTTCCTCCGAATCATTTATTAAATGAACTGGCTCTTCAAGGCTTTGTATAAAGCACATAGACTGGTAAGTACCAGTTTGATTTTACCATAGTCATAATTACCAAAACAAACCGGTTGATGTAAAACCACCATAAATGCAATCAATTCACTGCGAAACTGCTAGATAATCAAAGATTAGAGGGGAACATTTGATACCTCCAATTAGCTTGAGTTTGGCTGATTTCATAGTTTTACAGCCCTTCATAGTAAATCTACTAGTTATTCCTTGTGAACTAATTTGATACATAATGTCTTGAGTTTTCATTTGTAAAGAACCAGTTTTACTGGCAGACATATTTTTATAAAACCAAGTAAAAATATACATTTCATATTTATCTGTGCAATTTCCTTAATTACACTCAAATCTGGGTGAGTCACTTGCAGCTGATTATAATCTATACTATGTAATTTTACAATCAACCCTCCTTCACAGTGCAGTTCTCACAAACTCCTAAAGATACATTAATCTTTTACGAAATATTTGGAAGTCCTTTAGAATAGTTTGAAATTTTCAGTAAGTAGCCACAAGTCTTAGTCATCAGTACTTTTTGGGGTTGCACACACAAAGAAATAATTATATAAAGAGAAATGCTGTCATTGTAGCCCGTTCTTTGCAGTCAAATAAAGTTTAAGCCAAAGCCAGATTGGTCTCATTTAGGAGTTTAATTGAAATCACCAACCTTTTTACTTTGGAGTATCTCCACCCAGGTTATGTACAGCAATGGCTCTAAGTCATTTCCCGCTATCTTGGAGCAAAACAGTACCCTTTTGAACTTTCTTTCCACAAACCTTTCGAGTAAAATCTGGAACAGTGATTGTGTTACACTAACTCCCACTCAGCCCATATTTTCTGTCTTTGAGGCCTAATTGAATTTCATATCATATTCCTCAAAATGTCCATTTACCACTCCAACACTTCTTAGAACAGTTCATACCCTAGTATGGAAATCAAACATCATTTTCTATCGACGACATTTAAATTTCATTGGCTTATCAAATTCACGAGTTGGTTCAAAGAGCCTTTGATAAACCTAAATCATGAGTCCCGTAGTATTTCTCCCTAAAGATTGGAATGTTTATCTTCAGTGCTGTTACGTATGCTTCATCTGTAAGTAAGGCTGTATCAAATTTCCAGAAGCCAGGTCCTCTTTTTTGGTTTAGGTGATTAGACTGGAGTACAAGTGACACAGCGGAGTGATCAGATTCGGGTGCGTGGACGATGTCACATTTCTTTGCTAATTAAATTAACTCCTGTGAAACTAAGAAAAAATCTAAGCGACATTGAATTTTAAAAGATTTAGTTCTCCATGTGAAACACTGTTTGTCTTTGTTCAGGCTTCGCCATGTATCACTTAGGTTATACAAATCACAAAGCGTGTTGATTTCTTGGATGACAGCTGATTTTTTGGATACAGGTTTTCCGCCTCTTTTGTCATTTGAGGTGAGTGCGCAATTGAAGTCTCCTCCAATTACAATTGTATGTTGCGCGAATTCCGCGAGTTGTTGGTTTAGTCTTTTGAAAAAAGCAACTTGTTGGGCGACATCGTTAGGTGCGTAAATGTTGACGAGAACAATAACTTTCTCTTCCAGTGACAATTTTAAAATAATGAACCTACCTTGTTTGTCTGGAATGACTTTGTTTCAACTTTGAAATTCACAGAGGGATGAATTAGTGTTATGACACCTTTACTATGGTTTGTGCCGTGGCTAAAGAAACCTTTGCCACCCCATTCGTTTTCCCGGATAGGTTCAAGAGCTTTGGAGCAGTATGATTCTTGCAAAAATATGACATGATGATTTTGTTTGTGTAACCATCGAAAAAAGGTTCGGCGTTTGACCGATTTATTAATACCTCTAACATTTAGTGACAAGCATTTTAGGTCGAAAGGCATTGGCAGTATTGACGGTGTTCATTTTGTAGGCGGTTTAAAGGAACACAAGCCAGGCGGAGTGATAAATAAACACGGATTTCTTCCGACGGAATTTCGTTAACTCACGACAAATTGGTACAAAAAATAATTTAACTTTTTCGCTGATTGGCTGCTGCGAGAATATGAACGAATGAAAAAGACGGTTGTTTCAAGCGAAGTGGGTTGGTATAACGAGACAGATGGAGCAAGCGGCGGTTCGAGCGGTGCTTCGAGTAGTTCGGGAAGAACTTCGGTCGCTTTAGATGTCGGTTGTTTGGAACCATTTAATCTAAAAGGAGAGCCACACAGTTTAAGCCAGCGGTGGAGGAGTTGGAAAAGAGCATTTAATCTGTACGTTACAGGGAAAGGAGTTTCGGACGAAGCACAGAAAAGAGCTCTGTTTTTACATGTCGCGGGAATGGACGTTCAGGAAATTTACTTCACACTTGCTGCTGATGCTGAAAGCGCTACTTTCGAGGCGACAGTTAAAGTTCTTGATGATTATTTTGTTCCAAAGGCAAACGTTCCTTTTTAGAGACATTTGTTTCGACAAATTGTGCAGGTAAGTGGAGAAACCGTTTATCAGTTCGTTGTAGGCTGCGTCAGCGAGCAATCAATTGTGAGTTCCGTGAAAACGAGAATGATTATATCCGTGATTAAGTTCTTGACAAGTGTTATTCCAGCAAGTTGCGTCGAAAGTTCCTGGAAAAGGAGGGAGCTCTAACGTTGGATGATTTGTTAAGGATCGCGAGGTCACAAGAAGCTGTTGATCGCCAGTTGAAACAGTACAGCACTGACCATGTGAATAATCAATTGGCTGACCAAGTGAATGCAGTTGGTGACAAGTCGGATGGAAATATGCGTTCTAGGAATGGAAAGAAATGCTTTAGTTGCGATCAAGAAGGACATTTCGGTGGAGACAAGAAGTGTCCAGCGCGTGACCGAACTTGCAGAATGTGCGGTGTTATTGGCCATTTCAAAGTTAAATGTCCCTGGGCTCATCAGCGTGGTGGTGGTGACTCCGGATCCAAAGGGGATAAAGGTAGCAAAGGTGCTGATGGTAGATGAAGAAATACTGGGAGTAGACGAAGTGACGGTAGAGGAAGACGTGGTCGTGGTCGTGGAAGGTCGCGAGAAACAAACCTTGTGGCTGACGGGAATCACAGCGAAGAACCTACCAGAACAGTTCAGCATAGTCCCGAGTTTGCATTTTCTGTGGAGCATTTAACTGGCCATAAGCGACAAAGTAGTGACTTGATAATCTTGATAGTCGGAGGTGTAGCTGTATCTGATGTCCTTATTGATTCTGGAGCTACTTGTAACGTGATGGGACAAAAACTGAAAGGAATAAACTGTGAGTCACGCAAGTCAGCCCGAAACCTTTTTGCTTACGGCGGTACGGAACCTTTACCGACTCTTGGAACTTTTACTGCAGATGTAACGCTGACTGTTAACAACAGCGGTTGTAGAGCAGACTTCGTGGTGGTCATGGGCGACGACCGGACGCTACTGGGTCGTGAAACCGCGGAAATTCTTAATCTTTTGCACATTAGTCCCTTCCAAGCGAACAATGTTGACAGTAGAGAACTTGAGAGTTGTATCCGAGAGAAAAACAAGGTCTTGTTAACTGGTGTTGGTCTTTTGAAGGGATACGAGCTTAAACTCCATATCGATGAGTCCGTGACGCCTGTGACCCAGCCTGTACGTAGAATACCGTTTGGGTTACGGGAGAAGGTGGACAAGAAGCTCGACCAGCTTCTGGAGCTCGACATTATGGAGGAAGTACCAGATGGACCTTCAGGATGGATCTCACCTTTGGTGGTTGTTCCTAAGGGCGATGGAGACATAAGGGTGTGCGTGGACATCCGTCTTGCAAACGAAGCAATCATCCGTGAAAGACACCCGATTCCAACGGTGGAGGAGCTTTTACACGATTTGAACGGGAGTACCATGTTCAGCAAGATTGATCTCAAATGGGGTTTCCATCAGATTCTGCTTAGCGAGGACAGTCGACACATCACTACTTTCGTCACACACAGAAGTCTTTATCGTTATAAGCGGCTGATGTTTGGAGTGACGTCCGCACCGGAGAAATACCAGCAAATTGTCAGAGATGTGTTAAGGGGTTGTCCCGGAGTTGTGAACATTGCGGACAATCTAATTATTCATGGCAAGAGCGTAGAGGAACATAACCGATGACTTTTTGCAGTGTTGGATAGGCTGAGTGAGGTGGGGTTGACAGTGAACGGAGAGACGTGCAAGTTTCGATTGTCAAAGCTCACGTTTTTCGGTCATGAACTGACCAGCGATAGCGTTAACACAAGTGAGGAGAAGGTTGCTGCCATTAGAGATGCACGGCCTCCTAAGGACGCAAGTGAGGTACGATCTTTTATGGGTCTGGTTCAGTATTCAGCAAAGTTCATGCCAGATGTAGCATCCGTAGCCAAGCCCATTCAAGAGTTGACCAGAAAGGGCGTTACCTTCAAGTGAGGCGAAGAACAGCATACAGCTTTTCAGGAGCTGATTTGTCTTATTACTCAGGCTGAAATATTGGGTTACTTCAGGGTTGTCAGTAGGACAAGAATCATTACAGATGCGTCTGCAGTGGGTTTAGGTGCAGTTCTTGCCCAACAACAAGGAGGGACATGGAGGGCTGTCTCGTATGCATCTAGAAGCTCGACTGACGTGGAGAGGCGGTACAGTCAAACGGAGAAAGAGGCTTGGCATTGGTTTGGGCCTGTGAGCGATTCAACATGTATCTGTCCGGAAGAAGCTTTGAGCTGGAAACGGATCACAAACCCTTGGAGCGAATCTATTCACGCACGTCAAAGACTTGTGCGCGAAATGAGAGATGGGTGTTGCGGTTACAAGGGTACGACTTTCAAGTTGTGTACCGGCCTGGGAAGACCAACATTGCTGACGCATTATTTCGTTTGAATTCCGTGAAACAATTAGATTGTGGTGAGGAGTACGATTTCATCAGAGCTGTTATAGAGAGCCGCGGGCCTTTAGCATTATCACCGAAGGAGATTGAAGAGGCCTCTTACAGTGATGAGGAACTGTACTTAGTGAAGAACTGTGTGAGATCTGGGAACTGGGAACAGTGTACAATTCCTTCATATGCACACGTCAAAGACAAATTATGCACCTCTGCCGAGCTTTTGCTTCGTGGTACAAGGATAGTGGTACCCAAGGTCTTGCCAAGGTCCACTCCGCAAGCAACCACAGGTGCCACACCCTTCTACCTGATGTTTAGTCGGGAGATGAGGACGAAGGTGCCGGAGTTAAGCCGAGAGGCCGTAGAGGTGCCGAGAGAAGTTCGAGATCGCGATCGGTCGAATAAGTTAAAGCCTATGCCGATGCACGTAGAGGTGCAACGCCCAAGTTCATACGGATTGGCAACACTGTGCTACTGAAAGTGGAAAAGTCTAACAAGCTTTCGACTAACTTCCGTCCGAGTCCTTTCAAAGTGGTTCAGAAGACGAACAGAAGTAAAAGTCAGAAACGAGGGTGGAGAGGAATTCAGAAGGAATACTGCGTTCGTAAAGAAGTACAACGAGCAAGATGGTGTGTCCAGACCAAACGGAAAAGAAAACAGTCCGTCAGAGGAAGTTGGACAGAGGGAGAAAGTTGTTCCACCAACAATGACAGGAGTGTCTGGAAACAGCCCAGTACCTCTTCAGAGGTCGCCGGAAAAGGGAGGAGAAACTGAAAGCAAAATGCAGACAGCAAGTCCGTTGACAAGTCAACAAACTGAAGGTCATCGCGAATTGTCAAGAAGCCTGTGCGCTTCGGAGGTTTTGTGTTATCGCTAAGAACTTAAAAGAGTCTTAAAAGATTCAGATACTTTGTTTTTGACACTTAGGGCGTTAATAATTTGAAGATTTTGTTTTATCGGAGGAAAATTTTGATCTGTGACTGTCATAGTGTACAACGTAAACTTAGTTCTTTTTCCTTAATTTTTGTCTGTAAAAAAGGAGAGAATGTAGTGTCGAGAGTAATTCCACACTTGTGGCATGTATCGGAACCAATAGCTCTTTTCACGGTTAATTTTTCTCATTTGCATTACAATGTAATCCAACGTGGATGCGAGGCAATTTCTGGCTAAAACTACAAAATAGCCCGAAATTGCCTCGCATACATGCTAGATTTTATTGTGATGTAAATAGGCAAAGGTAACCGTGAAAAGGGCTATTACGTAATATCAATTGTTCTCGCTATTTATATATAGCAGCCGTAATGTATGCGCAGTGTGTGTGGAAACCAAAGGATGCAACGGTCAATTCGTGTGTATTAAAGTAAGAGTTACTTTGTTTACCGCAACTCTACAGTTACCTTCCCTGCCTATTGCACAGTAAGTGTTACGCTGTGGACTCTGTGTGCGTCTTTTAAGACCGTTATGATATCATAAATTTTTAGCGAAAGGCAGGCTGAACACTAAAAGTAAGCTTTTTTTTCTGTAGTCGACCTTGCCAGGCAAATCAGTTTCGGCTCAAAGCAATTTACTCCATAAGCCCCCTAGCTTTGTCATTCACACTTTCTACGTGGCGTTTGGAATTATTGAAGCTGCATGCCTAAGTCACCCCGAAAACAAAGTCTCGAGCAAAATTGTTCGAGAACTTCGCGGAACCTCGGTAAAAAGTAATTACAGTGGAGCCCCGTGAATACGGTCACCAACGGGGCCATGAAAATTTGGCCGTATTACTTGAATGTTTAATTTAGACTGGCCTTGTAGACTATTGTCCAGCCACATTTATTTTTGCTTTTCGAGACACCAATCGTGACACAAGTGAGTTCAAAGTAGGGAGACATGCGGGCTGGTTTTATGGCGCACTTTGTTGATATTGGACATCCTTTTATATTCAATTGACACCTGTCAAAACAAGGTTTCCGCTGACCAGTATCTGGTGACTATATCGCGGGCTCAAGTTTTAGAACCTGTCGAGATCACGTGTTTTTTTATAGTTGACTGCTGGCTAAGTGCTTGTTGTTTTTGGATCGCGGGCTCAAGTCAGGTTATTTATTGTAATCCAGGGCCGGGCTGCTCGGAAGCCGGTTAACGCTAACCCAGGATTAAAATTTAATCAAGGCATAAATTTTTCTTGTACTCTATACAAATGTACTTCGCTGCTTTTGTTTTGTGTAGTTTGATATAATTTAAGCTCAAAACAGGAGGTCAAACAATATAAACAGAAAACCTAACCGCAAAGTTACAAAACTCAAATCAAAATTTTCGCTTATCCTGGGTGTTTTTGGACAAACCGAACCAGGAGCTCCGCTCTTAGGCTTGGCTAAATCTATATATTACTCTTCCTTCTAGTGTACGCCCCCAATTTGATTTTGCGGCATTTCAACTATTGGATCTCCATGTTGAGTTTCTGCATCTCTTCGCTATCAGTCGCTGTTTGAGAGCACATGTTGGCTACACAAGTTTTTAGGTCTGTTAGTTCCTTTCCCGCGTACTCAGCGGCCTCCTTTAGTTGTTTGTTTTCGTCTTCTTCCTCTGTTAAACGGACTTTCAGAGAGGCTATTTCCGTAAACAAATCTAAAGGTTTATCGAACTTGGCCTCTAATTTAGTTATACTTGCCAAGGCATCGCAGCAATGGCCTGCAACACAGTCCTCGTCCGTTTGAGAATCTTTTAAGCGGCTTCCTTGAGCCCTTCATTCATTTCGTCAGTAGACGGAGCGCTGAATTCACAAAATTTACATATCTATAAAACTTCTAACAGAGCGACCAAAGAACACATCTTTCACCTTTCTCTGCTACCGCGCGTTTTCATCAGCAAAGCTTGTCATGAGTGAGTCTGAAACACAGCCAAACCCCAAAGAGGCATCCTTGAAGTTCCTTCTTATAGTATGCAACTAAAAGCTGGTATACAAAACAAAATCTAGAGTTTGAAAATGAGCATGCAAAATTGTGTCAAAAAGTGTGTTAAATGCCAGTAATAAAGTATTGGCTATGTATTGACAAAAGCTGGCAAAGTGATCCACACTAATTATCATTTTGAGATAACGAAAATCTGCTCTTTTCAATTTCATTCTGTCACTTGATTTCACATAGTCTGAAAACTGAAGGGTACGAAAATTATTTGTCCAAGAGCAAAAATAATATGTAAAGGACTTAAATTTGCCAGCAAGTTTGCTGTCCAGATCCAGTCCAAAATCCTGATTTATCAGATGCAAATCATTTTGAGTGATGAAACATGATTAGGGTAAGATTTATTTGAGAGAGATTGAGACCTACATATATCTTATAGTTGTTCATGTCAAAGGATCGATCGACCGGAGCGGCAAAAAGCCTTTAAAGCTTGCAGCATCTTCTTCGAGTCCATTATCTTATGGCATTTAACAGTCGGCTAAATATCAAGCTGGTGCTTTTGGCTTCCAGACCAACTATCTTAAAACTAGTGAGACAGTCTCAGATAGAGCAGAGTGCAATTGATAGCTCTGTTACAGTAGTCATACCGGTCCCCATCCCTGCCCGGCTCACTCCTGGCTTGTATTTTCCCCTTGCAAAATATGAATGGACAGAACCTTGATAAGACATAATCTTGGCAGTGACTGAAATTATTACAAGAAGTTCCCCTAAGCCAGTGATCCCAGCTTTACTGACATATGCTTACCTGGGAGCAGAATGTGGATTGAGTCATTAGAAGTTTTAATCATTCTAATGTGGGAAATGTGTGATGTGCAATTTTGTTTGTCGAATTAAAATAGTATTTAACTATAATTTCGGCAGGTTTGTTTTGCAGGTCACAGGTCAGAGGTCACAGGTCGTATAGGTCACAGGTCACAGGTCGTAGGTCATAGGTCACATCAAAATCAAAAAGCACTCAGTATATACTCGCGATGTAAGAATTGACCGAGATTCCCAAGAGGTTTATCGATGTTTTCATGCAACAAACGTGCCATACCTGCACGGTAAACTATGCCATCCAGTAATATTTTTTTTGTAAGGATTCGTCTTGATGTTCTAAATATTCAAAGTGGCCTTATGTTAATTATGCTTCACTGCTAGTCGGACAGATTTAGTTAATTGTTTCATAACTTTATGCCATTAACATGGTCAGGTGACATTATCATTGTTGTAATGTAGTTTTGTGATAACAAACACTTTTGATATATCAAAATTCTAACGTGGCTTCGAGACGTTCTGGTTAAAAAAAATTGCGAATTTGTGAACATTCCCGTGTCTTTTAATATCTAGACGAGACTTTTG